GCCCATATACAAGCCCCACCCACAAATACATTCCTGCACCCCCCACCATACCTCTTCCTACACTGTTTACTTTTGCACCACCTGCATTCCTCTTCCTGCACTACCCAGCTCTGCATCCCTCTTCCTACACTGTTCACCTCTGCACCCCCTGCATCCCTTCTACACTGTTCATCTCTGCACCCCCTGCATCCCTCATCCTACACTGTTTACCTCTGTACCCCCTGCATCCCTCATCCTACACTGTTTACCTCTGTACCCCCTGTGTCCCTCTTCCTACAATGTTCACATCCCCCCCCCGCCCCCTGCTCTAAATCCGCAGGATCTCATGGGGGCTGTGCAGGATCTGTGGTGGGCCTTATGCCAGAGCCCACCACAGATCATGCACACCCCCCCTGAGACCCTGCAGACCGGTGCAGGATGTGTGGTGGGCTCTCAGGTGGGCTGTGCAGAATCCATGCTGGGCTCTGCAGGGTCCCTTTAGCAGCAGTGTGATCATCTTACCTGCTGCTTGGTCCCCGGCCTCCTCCACTGCTGGACTGGTGCTGCAGGACCCGGCCTCCTCCGTACCACGGCGGCTCTTCAGTGACCCGGTGTTCTGTCACGCATGCAGCGGTTTCCTACGGCGCCCTGGCCCCCCCTTCCTGATCCGTTGTCGTCCCGGCCTCGCCCCGCCCCCTCCTGCTGCTCCGTCTCCTCTACCTCTTCCACCGCCGCCTACTTGTCGCTTTTCTCTGCCTCCTTGCGGACTCCGTCCTTTGACACTGCCGCCTCCTCCACCCGGATGCCTGAGTGTTATGGGGCGGCATTTTTGGCGGCCCCCTGAAATCTGCCGCCCAAGGCAAACGCCTTGTTACCCAGCAGGAGATACGCCCCCTGTCTGTACGTAAAACGATGCCCCCATAAGATGCCGGTGTGCCACAGGACCCCAGATATGTACTATACAAAGCAGTATCCATATACCTTGTCGCACTCTTTACCGAATATCCCAAAAGTAACGGGTGCTCGCAATGACTGCGGAGGGCACCGCTCACAAAAGAACTCATATACAGATGTCACCAGCACCAAGATTCCATGTTAGTGCAAATTACCATTTTTTCAGTATAGAGTACGAGTACCAATATTTTCGGTACTCGTCGATACCAAATGCCGATACCAGTGCTTTGTGCCCCAATTATCAGGAAGTCGGGCGGCGGATCATGACCCATTGCCCGGCTTCCTGATTGCCTGTGAAGCCGGTGTTCCACTGAAAGAACACCGACTTCAGAGGCTGGCTGGCTTCCTGACCAATCAAGAAGACGGGCGGTGAGTCATGATGTAAACCCGCATCCTGATTGAAGCCAGCTTCCTAAGCACTTTTTTCTGGGCAGCCTGGCTTCCTGACCAATCAGGAAGGTGGGTGGAACGTCATGACTCACGTCCCGGCTTTCTGATTGGTCAGGAAGCCAGGCTGCCTACCAACAAGTGAAGCCAGCTTCCTAGCCAATCAGGAAGTCCGGACAGCACGTCATGACCTGCCACATTTTTCTAGGCAGCTTGGCTTCCTGACCAAGAGCCATGATGTACGACCCGCCTCCTGGCTTCCTGATTAACTTAGATGCCAGCGTCACATTGTTCATAGGTATTTTTCGTGGCTTCCTGACCAATCAAGAAGTCGGGAGGTGGTTCATTACATGCCGCCCAGCTTCCTGATTGGAAAGAAAGCCAGCTCCAGTGGCGTCACCAGGGGGGTGCGGAAGGAGCGGTCCGCACCAGGGTGAATCAATCATTTTGGTGTCACCCCCCGAAAAGTCGGGCACTCGGTCAAGGACCGAGAGCCCGACAGTTGCTCGAGAGAGGAGTGGACCTGGCGGCATACCTTATCCCACCAGGTGACATCCCCTCCACACCACACGTGACATCATCATGTGCGCGATGACGTCACTGCAGGGTGTCACCCGGTATCCGCACCTGGTGTCACCCCACCTCGGGACGCCTCTGCCGGCTCCATGGTCCCTTGGCACTGCTGGTCGGAGAGAGATCTCCCTCTGACCGGAAGTTCTGGTATCGGGGAAGGTATTGGAGCATTTGGACGAGTACTCGCCCAAATACTCGGTATCGGCACTGATACTAGTATCGGTACATTTATAGTGCAAATCCATTTTATTGATAGTTGTCATTCAAACGACAAGCGCATTTCTGAGCCTGATGAAGCGGACCCTGCGCGGCCCCAAAAGCGCTTGTCGATTGAATGACAACTATCAATAAAATGGATGTTGCACTAACATGGAATCTGGACATCTGTTTTGGGTGATATGTACTATAGCACATAAAAGACGCCCCCACAAAACATGTCACGGGTTACCTGTGGCATTTTTTAATAGGGGCATGTTTTATCTGCAATACTAACAAACCAGCGGGGGAGGGGGGGAGATAATGAGTGTGTGTAATTCTTATGCTGATTTTAGCTATTGCTGTGAGAACCTGTAAAGAATAAGGTGACCAGATTCCTGTGTCCATGATTCATGCAGAAACTTCTTTCAAGGGAATCTGGTCACCCTATTATTTACAGGTTCTCACAGCAAGAGCTAAAATCAGCCTGAGGCCCCATTCACACTTGGCGATTCCCAAATCGCGCGTTTGTCGCGCGATTTGCATTTTGCGCGATATCGCGCAAATGCTTGCATCAAAAAGCATTGCATCGCGGCAAAATCCGCTCCAAAAAGGGTCCTGCTGTAGCGACACACGACCCTTTGCCCCATTGCAAAGCATTGAAGAGCGATATCGCGCTGTAAATAGCCGCGATATCGCGGGAATTACCGCGCGATAAATCGCTCAATGTGAATGGGGCCTAAGAATTACACACACTCACTATCTTCCCTCCTCCCCCCCGCAGCTCCAACGGGACAGGAGACAGTGCTCTGACAGTTCAGAGACTATCGGGCACTGTCTGTATAACGATCACACACTACAGCTGGCCCGGATTAACCCCTTAAAACACATACCTTTAGTCGCACAGACAGCCGCACGCTCTGCCGGGATTGTGCTCACACAGCAGAAGGTCCTCCTTCACGCATTCCTCTCTAGGACCCAGGGGCTGCCCCTGTCTGCCTGAAACTGTGACATCTTGTGTACGGGGCTAAGGTGGCCATAAACCCGTACACAAGATGCCAAAACCGTACTGTCCGGGTGAAAACCAGACAGGTGGCAACCCTATCTGCACCCCCTGCATCCCTCTTCCTACACTGCCCACCTCTGCACCCCCTGCAACCCTTTTATAATGTTTCTCATATCTGCACCCCCTTCCTACACTGCTCACATGTGCAACCATGCCAGCGTCGCAGAGGTAAGCACCGTAGGAAGAGGGATGCAGAGGTTACAGACGTTAACGGTATTAGCAGAGCATTTCATTGCTGCCACCCAACACTGTTAACTTCCACACCTTCACTTTATAGAAATATGTTCTCTGAAAGTAAAACCAAGTTTCTAGCTGAATCATCAGTGTTCTTGAACATTATTGCACCAGAAAAACTTTCATTAATATATGAATAGTATGTAGTCTGTACTGACAATATTAAATTGAATCCTAATTCAAACAGCTAAACACAGCTG